CGCGCGGGCGCGCCGCGGGGCTGGCGGGAGCTGTCAGGCAGTGTGAGCGACCCCTGGTGGTCGCCGGGGGCGCAGCCACCCGAGCCTCGCCAGCAAGGTGCATGGAGTCCTCCACTAAGTGTTAGATGGCTTTGTCCTTCATTTGGCTGGGGGACCAGGAAAATTCTCTCGTTTACCAAGAGCTGGCTGAAGAAGGTGTCCCACAGTAGACTTCTGCAACCAAATGGTCTTATCTGGGGCTCCTGTGAGAATCTAATGCAGCCACGGGTCTGACAGGAGGTGCAGGTAATGCCATTGATGCAGAGAGGTTGTAAATACAGAGGAAGCTTCGCTGACTAGCCGCTGTTCCTCTCTAGCAGAGTGGCCTGGTTCCATACCAGGTGTGTGGGCGGTGGTGGTGGTGAGCCGTGTTGTACTAAGGCTTTAGGTACATCCTCGTGTTAACCCCTATAGCCAGTATTTTATAGTTCAAAAAACTGAAGCTCTGAACAATTAGGTAACCTGGCTAAGCATAACAGCTAGGAAGTGGCAGCCTTAATATTGGAACCAAGCTTCAAAACTAGTGTTCTTGACTATATGCTATGCTGTCTAATACAAAATCTCACTAAAGAATAGAAGACACTTCAACTACTAGCTTTTCTTAGGTAGTTCTGTACCCTGGCAGCCTATCAGAATTAACTGGGTAGTTTTTGGAAAATGTGAACTCCTGGCATATGCCTCGGACTTATTAAACAGTCTCTGTGGTTGAAACATGGGAATTATGGGAAAATTCCTCAGCTGATTCTGAGGAGTAGCAAAGTTTGAGAATCATTGATCAAGGGACTATGCATACAATAATATGTTTGTAAAAGTTCATACATGCATTAGGGACCAGCAGGTGGCGTGATGGTTAAGGTGCTGGACACACCCACATGGCTGACCATGGTTTGAGTCCTGGACCTGGTGGTTTGCTTTCTCACTTTCCCTCTCTCTGTCTCTCTCTGGTCAAATTAAAATAAATAAATAAATTAATTTAATTTAATTAAATTTTTTAAAAAGTTCATACATGCATTTGTATATGTATTTCTCATGTTCAGTGAGGCTCTTAGGAGTAAATTCTTGTTGAAAACCTACCACAAATGTCCCAACTAAGGCATTAATTCAACAGAGGTGTTTTGGGCACAGATGCACTAGAGATGTAAAAAGGAATCACATAAAATTGCTGGTCTCTATGGACAAGGCTAAGCACCAATAAAGAGGACCATACCTTCTACTTTAAGGTCTATTAATTGTGGGCAGCTGTCCAAACTATCAATACCTAGAGAACTGGGGTGTCCTGGGGCTCATCCTCATGTTCATCTCAGGTGTACTTGACAAGGGAGCCCACCCAAGGATCAGGAGCAGGTTGTTGTCTGGCTGCTACCCCAAAGTACAGTTTGCAAACAACCAAAAGGGAGAGTAGCTCCTGGAAAAGGGGGTCTTAGCTTTAGCAAAACAAAACCCAGGAACCCTGGAATTTCAGTTTTGGAAAGAATATCTTCAGCTGTGACAAGGATTGCCTAGAAAGTATAAATTTTATCTTTCTTGTTTTCCCACAGTGTTTGGAGATTTCTGCACCGTCACTTTTAGCTAAGGAGCACTCTCTGATGCTCCCTTAAAGCGCTGGTCAAAAGTGAACACTTCTTCCCTTGGTTCCTTTTAGGGCAGCTGAGAAAGAGCTTTATGAAAGATTGTACCAGAAAGCTGGAGCAATAAGGAGCTCCCAGGAACTCATTTCTCCACCTACAAAACAATTGTACTAGCAGAATTCATCTGAATAACTATTTTAGAACCCTGGACTCTATTTAAATATTTGCAGCTTCCAAAAGGAATCTGAGCTAACAGACAGGTTGGTCCTCAGGGTTTTAAGACCCACCAGGTTCCACAGGACTTAAAGCCACAGCTCCTGTTTTTGTTTCATCTTCTTTTTTCCTAGCCTTTCCCTTCTGGGATCCAAACATTTAAGGATCAGAACATTCAAAACCAACCATCTACCTAAGGCTAATCTGTGCCACAAAGACAACCTTAACCCATCAAAAATATATACCTGCCACAATATAAGATTCAAATGTTCAGTTTTCAACAACAACAAAAAATCACAAACCATAAGAACACAGGAAAGTATGGCCCTTTATGGGGAACATAGCCACTAGAAACTGCTCCCAAAGAAGTCCAAATTGGGACTTACTAGGCAAATTCTTTAAAACAACTATCTTAAAGATGTTCAAAGAGTTAAAGGAAGACCTAGACAAAGGTAGGAAAACAATACATGGACAAAGAATATCACTAAAGAAATAGAAATTATAAAAAAAGTAAATTCTGGAGTTGAAAAATGTAGTAACTTAAATGAAAAATTCACTGGATGAGTTCAAGAGCAGATATGAGCTGACAGAAGAAAGAATCAACAAAGGTAAGAAAACTGAAGACAATTGAAATGACTGAGTCAGGAACTGAAAGAAAAAAGAATGAAGAAAAGCGAACAGAGCCTAAGTGAACAGAGCCTATCAAGTAGATAACCATGAATTGTGGGAATTCCAGAAGGAGAGACAGAAAGGGACATAAATAATATGAATAAATAATGGCTGAAAATTTCTAAATTTGATGAAAGATATGTATCTACAAATCCAAAAAGCTCTATGAACTCCAAATGGCATAATTAAATTTGTTCTACTTAATTAACTGAAATATATTGTCATCAGTCTGTTCAAAGAGAAATCTTTAAAGCAGTAAGAAGGAAGCAAAGCATCACATAGAAGGGATCCTCAATAAGATGATCAACTACTTTCTCATCAGAAACCTTGGAAGCCAGAAGGCAATGAGTTGATATATTGAAAATGCTGAGAAGAAAAAATACTTTCAACCAACAAGTCTATGTCCAGCCAAACTGTCCTTAAATATAAGAAAAAATATTAAAACAGTCTCAGATGAGTAAAAGTTTAGGGGGTTTGTTACTTCTAGATTTGCTCTACAAAAAACACTAAAGGGAGTACTTCAAGTTGGGATAAAAGGATGTTAGTATCTAAAGCCATAGGGAGAAATAAAGTAAGGGTAAATATATGGCTTTTTTTTAAAAAAAAAAAAAAAGCATAGTTTTATTACTGTAATTTTGGTTTGTAATCATTTTTTGTTTTCACATGATTTAAAAGAGAAATGCATAAAAAATTAACTCATGTTATTGGGCACTCAGTGTATAAGGATGTAATTTGTGACATCAATAGAAAGGAAGGGATGGAAGTATATAGGAGCAGAGTTTTTGTATGCTATTGAAGTTAAGTTGATATAAACTAAAATTACAGATATATGCTACATAATGACATTTTGGTCAACAATAGACTGCATATATGATGGTGGTTCATAAGATTATAATGGAGGGGCCAGCAGGTAGTGTGGTGGCTAAGGTGCAGGACTACCACAATGCTGACTGTAGGTTAAACCCCAGACCCATGGCTTGAAAATCACATGTGTTTGCAAAATTCCAAGAGGAGACTGGAGGGAAGGGAATTGCAGCATGGCCATCCTCCATGGTGAGGGAAGGAGGGAATGATTTCTCACTTTTCTTCTCTCTCTGTCTCTATCCAGCGAGCA